TGATTGGAGTTTTACACATACAAGTTATAAATGTGGTGTGTGAGATCTATGAGTAAAAGTAATGAAAGCTGGTAGAACTGACTCAGGATTAGTCTGGGGTTTGTTGAGGCAGGAGGGGATCATAGAGAAGGAATGTTTGCACTTTACATGCAAAGAACAATCCAGAAGAATGAATCTTTGAAGTCAATGGCTGTTGCTTTATATTGGCCACAGTTAAGATCAAATAGATGATGTTTAAAAGAGATTACTTGTGGGGATTGAAGGAGAGAAGAGTTTTGGAAGTGGAATTAGAGACCTCTGTGCAGCCTTTCCTGTGTTGGTAGAGTAATGTCAGTTTTGCTCAGTCTTCAGCCATGTAATGTGTGACGGTCACGTGCCAGGGTACTTTACTTGCAGCCTGGTTTATCTCCAATTGCTGATACAAAGAAAAATAAAGAAGTTGCTAGAATGTTTTAGTTCTTGTGTCTTAGACTTTTTCATGCCTCTTATTATGTCATAGTCTGTATTAGTATTTACTTACATGAAGTGTTTCCAGCCAAAGTGAAGTGGTGCCTGAATTATTGGTTCTAGAGAGGCACAGAGCAGTTCAGTGGCAAGGGGGTGGTTATTTTGTTGTGGCTTGTTTCGGAGCGGTGTTCATCAGCTGTGGATTTACCTGCCAAGTGACAAAAAGCAGCTTCTAACATTTGAGACGACTGCAGGAGCCACACTGCTACGGTAAAAATCCTACTGAAATACATTGATCCTGTACTCCAGTATCTGGCCCTGCACTCGCCCTGTTTTGAAAGGTACATGGTTGTAACCTGGGTAAGGACAATCTGAGTGCAGCACAGGCTGGGGTATGCCCAAGGGGGGGAGCAGCTCTGTGGAAAGAAACCTGGGGGTGCTGGTGGACAACTCAGTAGGAGTGAACAGCATGCTGCTGTGACAAAGCAAGCATGCTGGGGTACATCAACAAGGGAATCACCAGCAGAGAGAAAGAACTCATTATCCCACTCAACTGTGACCTTGTCAGGCCACCCTTGGAATATTGTGTTTAGTTTTGGCCCCCACTGTACAAAAATGATGTGGAGAGGCTGGAGATGGTCCAGAGAAGGGCCACAAAGATCCTCCAAGCACTGGGAAGCCTGCCACGTGAGGAAAGGCTGGGAGAGCTGGGCTTGTTCAGCCCAGAGAAAAGAAGTTTTAGGGGAGACCTAATCACTATGTTCCAGTATTGAAAGGACGGCTACAAAGAAGATGGGGACTCCCTTTTTCCAAGGAGTCACATGGAAAGACCAGGAGTAATGTGTACAAGATATTCCTGGGCAGGTCCTGGTTGGATACTATAGGAAAAGTTTTCACAATGAGAACAATCAGCCACTGGAATAATCTTCTCAGGGAACTGGTGAACTGCCCAATATTGGACAGCCATAAGATTTGGCTGGGCGGCACGTTGGGACATATAGTCTAGGTCATGCTTTGCCAGATGATCCTTGAGGTCCCTTCTGACCTGCTGTTCCATGATGCTGCGGTAACCTTAGCAGCAAGCACAGGAGAATGTGGATGCATGTAAACATCTGACCTGCTGAAGAAAGCTCTTTCTTTGGGATCTGTTCAATCCCAGACTCTTAAGGAGAAGCGAGTTACTTGATGACATCTTGTGTTTGCTTTCTGTCATTTACATGATGCAGTCTTCTCTAGAGACTTTTCTCTGCAGGGGTGTTCCAGAGGTGCTTCTGATGCTGAGGTTACCTTGATTTGTTCCCAGCCCAGCAGTTCTGAAATAGCAGTGTGGGAACAAGTTGTGTGGAATACATGGTGAGGTTTCCTGTAAGGGAAAGATAAGCCTTGATCCTCCTTCTTGATCCTCAAGCAGTTGCCCTCATTTGGCAAGCTCTTGGAGCTAACCCTGTTTCCTACTGCAGTACATCTGGGTCACTGGAAAAATATGTGTTTAGGAGGAATGCACGAGGCAGGCAAACCAGCTTACATCATCCTCAGAGCTTGTCAGGCCACGGCTGCTTCCTAGCTTGTCCTGAATCTTGTTCAGGGGAATCCAGGTAACTCGGATGTTATTTTCATCCAGTTCATGCTCACAGAGAAGAATGAGGGCTCTTGAAAATTGTATTCTGAGTGTTTATCAGATTTGCACCAGGAGGAGGAGGTAGGTCAGAACACTTGAATCATCTTTAATTCATGCAAGTAGGCATTTAGAGCACTTCTGGAGTGTCAGTTACTTGTGGCAGGAGTGGAATATGCAGCTACTTGTATAGCCTGCGCCATAAGCCCTGCCTTTATAGTTGCATGTTAAAGTTCTGGGTACATCAAATGGTACATCAAAACTTGTGTTTGTTGACTGGGGGAAAGGTAATTGTGTGCCTTTATGTTCTAGATGATAATGTGTGATACACGTTTACAGCAATACCTTGCAAAACCCATGTGCTTTTTTCAGGGGTAGCATCCAAACTCACAGGCATTGGTGAGTGAGTGCAAAACCTCCATCTCTGCTGTTTTGGTGCCTGAAGTTTTTTGTGCTTGTGTTATGTTATGCATTGAATTAGCCCTATTTCCAACAGAACATAAAAATAAAAATGGAGGAGAGAGAAGCAAAGCAAAGGTGGTATGGACTAATAGAGTTCTGTAATTCTCAAAACTCACTGTTGTAAAGTAATGCAGAGAGGTTGTAATGATCAGATGTATGACTGTTTTACATGTCTCCCTTTGCTTGTACTATGAAAGGAAAATGAAACCACTATAATTCCATTTCTACTCGTTTTTCTCTCTAATCTTTAATGTAAATCTTTTTCATACATGGAACATGAACCTTTGAATGAAGTAAATTGACCTCAGTAACAGAGTGCTCTGTGCAGTGACTTGTTGCCAGTAAGACTTTCCCATCCTCTGAGAGGCAAGCTTTCAACATAAGCATCAGGTTGTATCTACACTGGATCAAACAGAATTCATATTCATGAGACTTGTCTTCTCTCTTGGTGTACAGGTTGCCTTAGCAGACATAAGTTAACTTTGATTTTTCAGGACATTGGTTTTCTGTATTTTATAATTAATACCTTGAAAGCTCTGACCTAAGAAGAGGTGGTGGTGGGTTTTTATTGGCTAGAAGAGTCAGGGAAAGAAGAGCTTCTTGCTGCAGGAGGGAGAGTGCAAGAGAACTGCATACTTGCATTTTAGCATACATTTGCACATCTGTGGAGTTCCAGAGGCATCCAGTATTCCCTCTGCACTGCTGATAGTTGTCCTTCCTCAGCCATTTCAAAAAGTTTGCTCTTCAGCCTTGTCCCCAGATTCCTTCATGTTGTTACCTAGCTCCTGGAATGGCACTGGAAGAGGCAGCAGCATAGGCAGGGTTTTGGAGGCTGCTGTTCCTTGTCTGTGTTGCAGAAGTACCATAAGAACATATGTAAGTTAGTGGACCGTTGTCATTTGTTTAGTACTGGTGCTATTACCAGAGTCATTTAAGCTATGATGTTAAAAAAGAGCATCTTTCTGTAGGAAAGAGTGATGTAGGCAGAGCCTTGCAAGGGGATTTGGCCTATTAGGAAGTATTGAAAAGAGCTATTAAAATGTCCTGAAAATACAAATAATGGTGAACAGACATCTTGAATTCTGAGTCTTTAACAACACACAGAACCAGCAGTTGTTTGCATATTGTCTATTCAAGGCCTGTATTTTTCTGCATGTTACCATGTCTTTACTAGCTGGAGACTGCTGCTCTTTGCTGAGGCAGCACAGAGGTGGGTAAGGAAAACGAGCACTATGAGAGTAACACACCACACTCCACACTTGAAGTGACCTTTTAAAGTCACAGTAATATTGTTAAATTGCTATAGCTAAATGAGGTTTGGTATTAAGATACCAGCCAATGGATCGGCTAGCAAGGGGCTCCACTTGAAGACCTGGGAGTTCTGTACTGTTTCCATCCATGTAAAGTGTCTATGTATTGTCTTCCTCTACAGAAAGATCTAGCTGTTAATACAGCAAGTGCAGGAGAGGTTACTGCTGATTAATTCACCTAGGTTTCAAAAGTCAGATTTCAGGTTGATGCAGTTAATTATACCCACCCCCCACCACCCCTCAACATAGATGTAGTCACAGTCCTGATGAGATTTGCACAGAAGACTGCATTAAAGTATCAGAAGTATTTTTAAGACCTGTTTTACTGCTGAGAGTTCCCAGTTAGGCAATGTGATTATGGTACTTTGTCATTTAATTCCTGTTTGTTCTTTCTTTCCTTTGCTGACGTATTCTGTAACAAAGTACCTTATAATAAAGCTACTTTTGTTGTTCCTCTGTGTGAAGTTCACATGGACCTCTAACCTGATCCTTGGTATCAAAATTGATACTCAAGTCTTCGGCTTGTTCTGTTTTGCCATGACCGTTTGTATGTTTAAGTTAGAGATAACTGGGACATCAAAATATGCATGAACAGAATAGGTAAAAATGGTAAGACTGGCTTATGCTCTATGAATGATTAGTATGTATTTTTAATGCCTTAATAGTTAGGAATTCAGTAAGATCAAAGTAACAGTTCTGAAAGATGCAGGGGTTTTAAAGTTTATGTGTGTGTGCATAGTTGTTGAGGAGTGAGTTTGGTGTCTTTAAATTTGCACTTGTTGGATTCTGCTGGGTAAGGGACTGACAAGTTAATGGATTGCTTTAAATAATGATGCCAATGTCAGCTTGAAATATCTCCGAATGAAAATATTGAGCAGAATAAGTATACCCTTTTCCCTGTTTGTAATCAGAAAATGCCTCGTGTTGGAGACCATATTCATTAATGCAACCTTAAACTTATGTTTGGCTTAAGTATAGTGCACAAATGCAAAGCCTGAAGGAAAAAACAGTTTGGTGGCAGTTCACGCTCCCACTAAAGACATGTACTTAAAATGTCCACAGCTTTCTCATCCCTGTTGGTTTCTTTGAGTGCTTTAATTGTACTTCATGCTTCAAATCTATTGCTGATTCTCTTTTTCTTTTTTCCCTTCTCTGTTTTCTTTCAGAAAGATGAGGTGTACCTCAACCTGGTGCTGGACTATGTTCCTGAAACAGTATACAGAGTTGCCAGACATTATAGTCGGGCCAAACAGACACTCCCTATGATTTACGTCAAGGTAGGTAACTGATAGTTGTCGTTAAGTGAAGAAGAATATCACAGGAATAAACTCTGTGGATACCTCTTTCCTGACATAGTTTTCTCACATTTTTAGGAGCATATACATCATGAGGCAAGTTAAAAAAAAGATACTGGAATGATTGTTATGACAAAGGAAAGATAGGAGAGGCTTCAAGCACTCTCAAAGTCTTGGAGTGGGTGGGGGAAGCTGAGTGTGAGAGGAGTTCTGGGCTTTTAAAGTACCTTAGAGACTGACACCAGCCAGATGAGCAGCTTCAGTTTCCTGAGGAGATGAAGACACAGTAGTACAAAGGTCAGGAACTGGAAGAGGTTGTCAGGAAGAATCATGTCCTCTTATCTGTTGTATTACCCTTTTCCTGGCCTACGAGTTAAGAGTTCATGTGCTTCTGTTGGGGGCATGAAGGTCATAGTTTTGTCCCCATTTGGAGCTTGTATGCACAGTGTAGCCTCAAAACCTCACTTAAGTTGTCTGTGTCTTTTGTTGTCTTTTACGAGATAGTTAATGAATAAAATGTCCTTTTTCTCTGTAAAACTGGGACCTATTTGGGTCTTGTAGTTCCATTTCATACAGCGTGGTGACCACAATCCACATGTGAATGATCACATTTTCACATGGCATTAACTTGCTAACGTGGCACCAAAGTAAGACTAAATGGAAATAAGCCACAAATATTCCTGATTCTTATTGATTCCTCCCTAATCCTCTTTAAAAGCCTAATTCTTAACATGATAGTGGGGTTGAGAAAAGAACATGAATTTGATTGTAAGAAAATGAAAGTTATAGAGGTGAAAGCTACAAATAGTAATTATTCCAATAATGAAGTGTTGTGCCACAGCTGTATACGCATTAATTGTGAATGGCATGTTTCTTCAGTATCCACCACTGGAGCCTGCTTTTAAGGTAGACTGAGAGAGTTGGGGCTGTTCAGCCTGGAGAAGAGAAGGATGCATGGCGACCTCATAGCAGCCGTCCAGTATCTGAACGGGGGCTATAGGGATGCTGGGGAGGAACTCTTCATTAGGGACTGTAGTGACAGGACAAGGGGTAATGGGCCCAAACTTAAACAGGGGAAGTTTAGATTGTATATAAGGAAGTTCTTTAGTGTAAGGGTGGTGAGGCACTGGAATGGGCTGTCCAAGGAAGCTGTGAATGCTCCATCCCTGGCAGTGTTCAAGGGCAGGTTGGACAGAGCCTTGGGTGAGATGTTTTAGTGTGAGGTGTCCCTGTCCATGGCAGGGAGGTTGGAACTGAATGATCTTAAGGTCCTTTCCAACCCTAACTATTCTATGATTCTATAATACTATCCAGTTTCTACTGCAAGGTCACACTGTTTGGTCTGTTGGTAAGCAGCTTCAGGTTTATATGTACCCCAAAATCCGTTGGCTTAGCTTTTGATAAATGATTTATATAACTTTTGTCAGCACTCTTGTCCTAATTGCTCTTCATTATGGGAACATGGGAAAAATTGTCCTTACTTATGCTTTGAGAGAAAATTCTGCTTCAGCTCTTTAATCTTCCTGTCTGCTTGGGACTTCCCATTCCAAGCAGCCTGGAAGGCTGTTCTTATTTTTCTGGCAAAGCAAGCCTTTCTCATGATTCTGTATTTAAAAAGATCGTGTTACCTTGATGTCATAAAAGCTTTTGCAATTCCTGAGCCATCTTGGCTACACAAAAGGCAGATCATACCTCTTTGTTCATGTTTGATTGGTACCTAGGTAGGCAGAGAGGTACTTACCCTAGGTAACAACAAAGCTGTTAAAGAAATGCAGGGAAGCTTTTCTAGTAATCTACTTACTAATTTCTGTTTGTAACTTCTAAGATGCTGGAAGAAATTCTTGGAAATGTTGGTTTTGCTGTGGGGAGATGAAAAACATACCTTCTAAATCCTGCGTGTGTCAACTTGACTTCTCAAGTTAGAGCAATCTCTTGCGTTATTTTGCAATACACTTGCACAATACATAGGTAACATGTCAAAAACAGTGTTTGTTTGCTTTCCTTTGTGCACAGTTGTGGTTTTTAAAAACAAATATGAAAACCAAACACCTAGAGCCAAAATTCAAATGATTCTCCTCCCACTCCTCAACTCCTCCCCACCGAACGAACAACAAAAAACAAGGGAGAGAAAAAGTGTAAAGACAAAGATAGTGGTGAAAGTGCGGCAAACATGACCTGATAGCAGTATCTAGCAATTGCACCCAGTTTTAGGCCGTTAAAGGTGAACTGTGGAGAATGTGCTTAGCAAAGGGAAGTGTGGAGGTGCATCTCCAGTACTGTGTCTTGCCTGTAGCTTGATTTTTAAATGGAACCTTGTGGGGGATGCAACAAAGATAAGAAATAACCAGGTAGCCTGTTGTCAACTTTGAAACAGGGATTCCCATGCCTTTATGGCAGTATATACTATATGACCCTAATTGTATCCAGCAGCTCTTTATTCTCTATAGCTGAAAGCGTGTAGCTCCAGCAGCTGGACATCCTTCCCTTGCCCTGTGGTCTTGCCACCTGATGCTCTCTCGGCTTTGTATCATCTCCTCTTGCAGTATTCATCCTTGCTAAGGGTTTAGCCAGCCTTAGAAAGGGGGAAGAGAAAACTTTCCCTCAACATACTTGTTTGCTGTGCCTTGCATAAGATTATTCTGAACAGTTGGTTTTATCTGCCTTCTCTTTTTGCCCAGAGATTTGAAATTAGAATGAGTCTATCCCTTCCCCAAGAGAAACTGGGAGATTCAATCAAGTGACAGGCTGAGACACTACTGTAGTCCTTGGATGACATTTAGTATATCGCTAATAACTTCATCAACAGAAGGGTTTTCTTTGGTGTTTGGGGTGGTGGTTGTTTGGGTTTATTTTAGTTGAGTGTTTGGATTTAATGGTTTTTTTTATAGTTCTTGTTTAATAAGCTGTAATTCTTCATTTCTGTGAAGAAGCTGGTTTATGAAGCAAACTGAAACACTTGTATGTTTTCTGTGACTACCATTATTTATAACTGTGGAAAGCTGCACAATTACTCTTTTTTGAATTGTGCTCATTTTGGAAAAAGGGCAAAGGAACAAATTTGAACTGCGTGTGTGGGTGCGTGGCAAAGGATGGGTGAACAAGGCATGCAAATACCCAATCATCTTCATAGCACTAACATGCCTTCAGTAGGGTCATCTTTTAGTGTGGGTTTTTGTTTTGTTGGGTTTGTTTTTCTTTTAATAAGGGTTTATGTTAAAATAATTGTTTCCTCTGTTTCTGACTGGAAAAACCATGCCTTACGCGCTGTTTCTTTGTTCCAGTTATACATGTATCAGCTGTTCCGGAGTTTAGCCTATATCCACTCCTTTGGGATCTGCCACCGGGATATAAAACCACAGAACCTCTTGCTGGACCCTGATACAGCTGTTCTAAAACTCTGCGACTTCGGAAGGTAAGTACATCTGTGGGCTGAAACCTGGTAAGAAGAGCTTCCTTCAAAGTGAACCTGGGTACAGCTTTGCAGAGCAGTCCTCTGTGTTCTCCAGGAGGTCCTCATCTGTAGTTTTGAAAGAGAAGTTACTGATACTCCTGTTTTCCTCTCAAAATAAGTTCATGTGAGAGAGAGAGGCATAAAGGATATCAAGAAGGGGGGAATTTAAGTTCAAGCCTCTTATTTATGAAGGCATTAGAAAAATAAATACACTGTCATATAGGTGAAGTACACCACCATGGAAAAATATAACCAAATATTAGGGTGAAATGTGTTTGGGAAAGAGAGGGCAGGCATATTGGTATGATAACCTAAAAAGGCTAATGTTACACTTTATTAGTCTACTTGTATATACACCAGTTGACTTAATATTTCAAATACCATAAGAGGCTCAGGATCAGAAGCAACAATTCTAATTGAAGCTCTTAGTGAGCTGTATCATAGTTTCCCATGTCACATTTATTTCCAGTTTTTGTTGAAGTCAGTCACCTTTAGAGTCCAACCCCCATCTTAGAACTGATACAGAAATTTGGGGAGTCCACATTGAGACAGGGGACAGATTTCTCTCTTGGAAAGTTCTGTCTTCAGATTGTGGTACAACTTTGCAGACTAAAATAGTTAGGGCATATGTGTGAGAGGTCACAGAAGCTGCTGTTGCTAAATTAGTTTGCCCATACTGAGTGGGAATGTCAGATGGTGGCTATTCAAGCAGGACATCATCATGCCTCGTGGCTTGGGAATCTCCTTCTCGGCTCTACCTCTCACCAGTGCTGGAACAAAATGGGAATTGTACTGAACTCAAAAGTAACAATGCATAAAAAGATGGTTCTTCCTCTGTGCTAACACGGAAACCAGTAGGAATTTGTTAATTGTTATTTCTGTGTAGAAAGTGGAAAACTGAGACTTTAAAACAGGCTAAATGGGTGGTGGGAGTCCTTCTTCCCTGAAAGGCTGAAGAACATTTCACTAGTCGTGTCTGGAAGGCTGGACATATGATCTGGCTGGCTTGCCACTCTGCTGGGTTTGGTGCTACTTAGTTGAATGTCTTATTTCTGAAAGGGCAGTTTTTGTCTTCCACCTCCTTTCTGTCCAACACATGGGGCTAATTAAGAAAAAAGCATAGCATGTTCATAGACTCATGTTCTGAATGTAATGTGCTCTTGTGTTCCTTTATTTACTTCCAACATTAGTGATTGGGCCAGTATTGTTAGATCCTTTGTGCCTGATCTCTTGCAGTATAAATGAAGCCTTCACGTTAATTGTGGCACATTAACATGTGACTGCAGTGGCAAAGTTTTTTTTTCCCTTGTCTCTTCGTAACACACTCCCTTAAACAGCAGAGAGTTAGAATATTGTGATGGAATGTTCAAACCAAACCAAACCAAACCCCACTCTTAGTTCTGGTGAGTATCCAGAGCTTTTGAACCTTAAAAGGGAACTGTGTTTGAACTGTATTCTGTCCTCTTTTTCTTTGTAAACAAACCTTTGTACCTGGCAAAAGACAGCTGCCAGCCAAAAATCTGACCCTATTTATCACCTAATCTGTAGGCACAATTTCCTTGGCTAAGTCCAGTGTAAGGTAGCTGGTGGATTGAACTGGTTTCATGGTAAATCATTTGAGTTTATGGCTTTCATCAGCTTAGAAGACCATGGTACTTCAGTATTTAGGAATTGGAGTGAGTGAGGAGTGCCAGAGCAGCTTAATGTGGGTCTGCACTGCAGTGCTGTAGAACTGTTAATTTCTCAAAGATTATTATTTTGTTTTCTTTACAGTGCAAAACAGCTGGTTCGTGGAGAACCTAATGTCTCATACATCTGCTCTCGGTACTACAGGGCACCAGAGTTGATCTTTGGAGCCACCGATTATACCTCCAGTATAGGTATGTATGTGTGTGTGTGTTAAAATCTATACCAACTACATGAGTTTGTATTCTGTAGTTAAGTTTTCCAGAGTTAAGGAAGTTCTGTAGTTAAGGTTTCCAGAGATCTTGGATACAATCCTCAGAGGCAGAATTTTGTTGTAAATGGTCAGGTCACACTTCTTAATAACATACTCGCATTTTGTACACAGCTTCTGTGATTTTGATGCCTTTGTAATTTCCATGTCAGTTACATTAGGAAAGGGGCTTTTTTAATGTATTAAGAGAAATCTGATTTCAAACAAAACAGAAAAAATTCAGGTAGCTCTGCCAAGTAGTTTAGAAGTAGATACGAGATCTCAAGCCAGAAAAGCACTTTGATGACTTAAAACAACTGTAAAGAATGACTGTACAAATATGGACTACTGCCTCTTGATACACTGTGATTTAGACACGTAGAATTCTGCAATGCTACTTACTTGGGTTTTAGCAAAGAGTTGTTTGGGTGGGCAGGGGGGTGAGAAATGTAGCCTGATGATTGGCTTTAAACAGTCTTGACAGGTTTAATGTATTACATACAGCAGTCTTTCTGATTTGACTTACACTGTGAACTTCTTCTGTCCTTTAGTCGTTAATTTTGAACACAAAGAAGGTGACTTTCTAATACCTGGCACATAGGTGTGTCATGGAAGTTAACTAGGGAAGCTGGAGGTTTTGGCAGAGGACAGGGAACAGGCAGGTTTTCTTACAGTGGAGTCCTAAAACTGAATTGCAGAATGAAAAATCCTAAGACTTAACAGCAGTTTGTTGGGTGGTTGTGGGTAACTTCTCAGGTTTCTAGTCAAAGTATTCCCCAGGCTCCCTCTGAGTGCTAGGGTTAAAGAGGCAAGATTTGGCTCTCAAGTTCCCCAGTATTGTGCTAAGCTTTTACCTTGCTTATGGACCTGAGTCACTTAGGCAAGGTTTAATATGTTGAAGAAGATTTGAAGATCATGATTAAATCTTGGCAGAATATTGTTTATAACCAGTTAAAGTATGTTTAGAGTTTGTATGTTCTAACTAGTGTTAGAGGCTGGCTGACTCATTCCAACTCCGGTTCTTTGAAAAGAAGTGTTCCTGAAGACTTACCTGCTCTAGCTAGTGTTTTTTCCCCATTAGTTATTCTTCAGTATGTATTGTAGCAACATTTGTGCATCTCCCTGGTAGAAAAAAGGAGGCAGAACCGTAAGAAGTCTGGGAAAGTAACGGCACAATGAAGATAAAAGGGTAGAACTTACTTAATGGTTGGCTGCTGCCAAATGTGACAGCCATGGCCCTTCTCTTCCTTGCCTCTGGATTTTCTAGCTCTCGCAGTTTACTGTTTAATACACCAATTCACCTTCGGCTGACAAGAGACATTTGGTTAGGTTAACATTCTGCTACCATCTGTGAGTTGAATCAGCATTACTGTGTGGTCTGATAAGCAGCAGAGCCCAGGTAGAAGCAAAGTGAGAAGAAGACAGCTGATCCTGGCTGACATCGTTTTTCCAGCTGAAAGTGAATAGATTGGCTCAGCTGCATTATCAGAATGTAGTGAGGCAACTTGTTCCCGAGGATAACTGCGTAAAGGAGGGCTTTAGGTGAGCACAAGCGACTGCTTTATAGATAAGCGTGTAAATTGCTCTTGTTCCAAAGTGATAGTGACTTTAATCTTGCACTGTTTCGCAAAGCTCTTTTAAAAAGTTGCTCATTCAGTTGTTTTTTGTTGTTTCAGTTTTGCTCTGTTGTTCGGTTTCTTCTTACCTGCTGGTCTCTGAAACAGCTATAATAAAAATAGGATTCTGAAGTGAGGAGTCCATTTTCCACTTGCCAAAAACATCATGAATTTCAGTCAGTGGTCAGACTTTGTTGTGTTCTCCCCCACAGAACCACCCTGTTTCCCTCACTCAGGCCTGAAACTTGTACAGACTAGCTTGAAAATGAGGTTCAGCAGGTACTCCTTCCTTCCTGTCCATTTCCCCTTCCTTTTCCTTCTCAACAGAAGCTTTGCATTTGAGAACTGAGAATTAAGTAAATGTTTTTACAGACTTTACAGTTTACCAGTGTTCTGCAATATGCTGGTGATTTTAGGGGTTTAGTTTTGTGATGCTGCTATATCCAGCGGTGGTAAATACCAGGATATTCCTTCATGCTTGTTAGGTAGGCAGCAATAGCACTTAGTGAAAACTCTTCCCCGTTTCACATAGGATTGCTCATCCAAACTCAACCAGCATTCTTCGTACACCAGCCAACAAACACTGATGGGTTTCTGACGCAAGAGGTAGAGGAAGGAACATTTAATTACCAGTACTTTATCCACAGCTCAAAGTATAGGGGACTGTGAAACTCTTCAGTCTCCTTTCTTGGAAAACACAGACATGCTTGTGTTTTCTAGTTCTTGTTTCCTTCTGAATTGCTAATGCAACAGCCCTTTCCTGCTATTGGGTCTCCTTATGTATGAATCCACTTATGTGTGGTAGCAGAAACTGAGTTTACATGTAAGGTAGAGATCTTCACGTCTTTGTTTATATACACTGTCTTAAAACTACATGAAAAATAAGTGTAGAATATGATGCCAAAAAGTGTTCTGAGTAGAACTTCGTGTGCATTATCTGCAAGGCATCCACTCTTTTCATAACGTTTTTGTTGTTTGCTAACATTACTGTAGGGCTTATGATTAATAACACACTGCTATATAGTCATTATTGGAAGTGCTTTTTAAGCTTAGGCAGTGGCACTGTGGTGGCCCAAGACTGACGGTACAGCCAGCCTGCATCATGACCCTTTCAGTAGTTCTTCATCTTGTTTAGCACTGTAATCAGGACTTGCATTAGGCTGTCTGGCTTCATCGAGGTTGTCTTTTAACACCTGAATTTGTCCTTGCAACATAACTTGCTCTTCAATTAGCAGAAACTAAATTTGGTTCCAGGATGTCTTTTCATCCTGGGTGTCACAACAGAACTGTCAGCTGGTGTTTTAACTTTCAGGATCTTGGTTATTTCGTGAAAGTGTATGACTTATATTTAACCTGAAAGGTACCTTAAAAAAAGCCTCACAGCCAGGGTAGTGTTTGTTGCACTTTCTGTCAAGTACTAAATTGGTGCAGTGCAGTATTTAAATACATACTGTAGTGAAAGCAGCATCAAAACACATTTGTTGCAGTTGATGCCTCTGTGTGTGCCATCCAGCAGACCTGGGACTATAGTTAAAATAATGACCTGGGAAACGACCTGTTCAGGTTTTTAAATAATCCCTGTTGCCAAATAGCTACAAATCCAGGCCCATAGCAGCTCTGTTGTCTACCTGCCTTACAGCTTCAGGGATTTATGAAGTGATTCAGAGCACCCTGAGGAGAAGGACTTGGGAGTGTTGGTTGACAAGAAACTGAACATGAGCTGCTTCGCTGTGTGCTTGAGCCCAGAAACCAGCTGTGTCCTGGGCTGCATCAAAAGGAGCGTGACCAGCAGGTCGAGGGAGGTGATCCTGCCCCACTTGCAGCACTGTGTGCAGTTCTGGTGTCACCAACACAAGAAGGAAGTGGAGCTGTTGGAGCAACTGCAGAGGAGGCCACGAGGGTGATCAGGGGCTGGAGCACCTCCCATATGAAGACAGGCTGAGACAGTTGGGGCTGTTCAGCCTGGAGAAGAGAAGGCTGCGTGGGGACCTCAGAGCAGCTTCCAGTGTCTGAAGGGGGTCTACAAGGGCGGTGGAGAGGAGCTCTTCATCAGGCACTGTAGCAATAGGACAAGGAGTCATGGGTTCAAACTGAAATAGGGGAAGTTCAGGTTAGATACAAGAAAGAAATTCTTCCCTGTGAGGGTGCTGAGGTGCTGGCATGGGGTGTGCAGAGAAAAAACTGTGGCTGCCCCATCCCTGGCAGTGTTCAAGGCCAGGCAGAACAGGGCTTGGAGCAATCTGCTCTAGTGGAAGGTGTCCCTGCCCTTGTCAGGGGGTTGGAACTGGACGAGCTTCAAGGTTCCTTCCAGCCACTCTGATTCTTCTGATTTTTCAGTGGTTAGGCACAAGCATTCATATCAGTTGGGTGCCTTTATAGCTTGGGCCTTCATTCACGTTTGACTAGGAATTCTGCAAGTGTGTGCGTGTCCCTCTGGCTTGCTGGGCATGGCACGCAGTTTTGTTCCAGCAGCTCATTTACAGGAGGGGTGTTTTTTTGCAAACCAAGCCCTTCGGCTATCCCTTGACAGCATTTTGGCTGGAGCTTCTTCCTTGTAGGTCTGTGTGTGTGTTATGCCATCCCAGAGTATGTTGCTAGCATGCTGCTGGCTGCACTGGTCATATGGGTGCTGCTGCCTGCTGAAAGAACTGTGGGATAGCTGCCCACATTCCCCTGCAGTGTTCTGGGACAAACATAGGCGATGGAGCAGGGGTGGGTGCAGATGTTTCTGTTGCTACGCGATCTCTTTGTATAAAAAGAAGCTGCACGGTTAAGCTTTACATCCATGACGTGCGTTGTTTTACTAGGTTAATGATGGGGCAAGGGAGGGCTCACTGGAATGTGGCACTGCTTTTAGCTAATAAAAAAGTCTGCTGGTCTCCGTGTGTTTCTCTGTCCCTGTGCTGGCGGGAGTTCAGAGTTCCAGAGGGAACGTTTATAGCCACTGGCAGGGAAAGATTGATCTGCGTGGATGTATTGCTGGCTTTTCTTGGGGTGTCCAAAAATAGGTATCATGAAGTTATTCATTCACTTTCCCAGCAAGCACTTAGATAGAGGGAGAGAGTATTTCATCTCAGCAGTCTGGAGCAGAACCTCCTCTGGAGGCGTGCGTAGTTGGGCTGTCTCAGGCTTTCTTGGGGAAGAACCATCACGAGGTGTGTTCAGCACCTGTCACCAAACAGTGAAAAGGGTTTCTCTCTGTCTCGGATGGTAACTTCCAGGGCTGAAAATAAGCATGTGTGTTAATTTACTGAACTATTCTGTCACTTCTTGTAGTTTCATCTCTTCATTGCAGAATAGAGAGAGATACATGTGTATAGCTTTTGTTCCAAACACTGGAACAAGCATGGCTTTCCAAGCATTTTCAGGTTTCAGCCTAGTTCTGTCTCCATGATCTGTGGTTGCTCGATGTGCAGAGCTTGCACTGATGTAGTGTGTGTGCCCATAATCCAGAACTCTGTTCTTGTTCTGACACCCCAGGAAGTGTTCCAAACAAGCAGCAGTAAAGAGCACTTTGGGCTCTGGTATTTGGCAACCTCATAGGGCTGTTTTTCTGACTCCTGATTTCTTCCCTGCTAGTTTGTGTCTGCAGTTTCCAGAGCAGTAACTTTGAGTTGTCTGCAAAATGGAGGAATTCCATCAAGACCAAGGAATAGTGACACAAAGATAAATAGATGAGGGAAAATAAACATAGGTAAACATGGCCTATAAAGTGTCAGATAAAGGAAAGGTTATAATTGTACTAAAGAGATAAGAGCAGGCTTGACTTTCTTCCCTCCCTTCTTTCCTTCCTTTTTCTTTCCATCCTTCTGTCCTCCAGATAACAACTTAAAGGAGCTGGAATGTAATACAATGAATGATGCTCATGCCATGACGAAGAGGGCCAGCTTCTCAGCTTAGAAAGGCAGAATCTGAAATCACAAAAATGAAACTGGCAGATAGGGTATTCTGTCCCAGACAACTGGAAATGGCCATTGCCCACTTGCAGAATTAAAGCTAAGGAGTGTATTTTGCAGATTGTCCTGCTGGATGCCTCTTCCTGAACTAAAGAGAAATTTCTTTTTTTTTACCTTCTCTAATGCTGCAACAGCATTCAAAAGCCAGGGCATTGTACAGATTATATTATTAGACAAGTTAATATCCACCTAACAATTGTGATGAGCAAGAAGGTAATAGAAACTTAAGAAAAGTTTTGTAGTGTAACAGGCCACATGAATTTGTACGCTTAAATTAGTGCAGGTAGGCCACATCATGATGGTATTTCTCTAAGTGTTCTTCAGTCTACAAAAGAGTTGGCATTAGCTGCTGTTAGAGTGTGTGAAAGCTATCTGAAGTAAGCTTATTTGAAGGTTGCTTTTGGCTGGCGGTTGCATTTACCATCCATATTGTTTAGACTACATCTCACCGAAGGTATGGAGAAAGTAACCTTGCCTACTTTCTTCTACTTAAAGTTAATAGCTTTCAGCATTTTCTCCTAAAATTTCACATTGTTCCAACTAGTTTGGCTTAAGGATGATTTGTTAATTTGTTTTCAATGAACAAGTCAATGTTTAGGGTTCTCTCTTGCCTTCTTTAAAATTAGTTTAAAGCACGTGAATGATAGTCATATTTTGCCTAAATTAAATTGCACATATTAAAAAGGAATAGTTCACAACCATGGGAGTAGGTAGTTGCACCAGAAGCTTGCTCTGAAAGTTTATTACCCTATAATAATTTGAGCTGTGACTGTGCTAAGGCAGAAAAGGGTCTGGAAAGGAGCTGTCAAAACCTGGTATGAACTACCTTATCACTTCTCTTAAGTAACGTGTCTTTAAATATAGAATGTAGTACATTGTTTATGTCAAGCTTGAGAAAAATGTTACCATCTTACACCCAAATTTTAGTCCTTTTAAAGGCAATCCCATAAATTCCATCAAGTTCTGCAGAGGTGCAATTTCCCACTTGCTTCCTTATTCTACATAGCTCACGAGAGCTGTAGAAACACCTATGTAAGTGGTGTTTTGTTGCTATCCGTGCTTGGAGCTGCTGCAGTTAGCCTCTGCTCTTTGGCGTTTGTTGAGGATGCTTCAGGGGTTTGTTCACTTCCTTGCCCAGGGAACGTTGCCCAAGTCCTAATTTGGAAGTTGGTGAAATTACAATCCTGGAAAAAAAAAGTTGGGAGTTTTAGAATGCCTGTAGCTTATTTCAGTGTGTGTTTAAAGTGTTAGCAAGGAAAATGAAGTAGGCTTTTAATAAAGAGTTAGGTTACCCAATTTGGAAGGTGTCACTGCATGAGAGAAAAACTATACAGATTTCCAGTGGATGAGTTTTAAGTTTGATGGTTTAAACCCATCGCAAATGCAGCAAGTATTCCTCAGACATCCCCACCACTTCCCTCATGGCCTCCATTCTTTCTTTTTCTCCTTTGTCCCCCTGTGATGCCCTCATCTGTCTCATGTACCCTCTGCTGTTCTTGCTTGAGCAAGGACCTGCGCATCCTTCAGCTTGTTGGCAGCTCTAGTGTGGCAGAGTGGGGGCGAGCCTGACACATCCCACAGGGATGAGCCCTCCCATCCTCAGCAGCAACACTGGTGCATGCTCTCCCTGCTGTTTTTACAAAGCTTCAGTCATGGATTTGAGTCTTTGGCCTTTCAGACTTCACTGAAATTGACTGGGGAAGTGCAAAAGCATTTAGGGAGCCTGGGAATGGATAAGCCAGAAGAAAGCCAGCTTCATGGAGCAGCCAGACCAGAAGGTCATTTAAAACAGTTTTAAGAAGCCACAGTCTAATTTGAAAAAGCTCATGCTAGCATAGTTTCAACATTTGTAGAGGGAGTGAGTTGTTAATACTGACTTGCACCAATCCAGGGCTGACACTGAGAGTATGTTGTGACAAATACTTTTCCTTCCCATATGTTATTTCTTTTTCAGTGCAAAATAAGGGTTGAAGTTGTACATTATCATTATAACTTTGGGGTACCATTTGTTTTGTATACTCAGTGTAAAGGACTTCACTCTTTCAAATCCCTTTAAGGTGCCTTTAAATAGACTTCTGAGTTACAGTACTCTGACTGCTTAGTACATTCTATCTGTTTCTTCAATATTTGTGAAGAAATCTGTGCTACCTGTTGAACTGTTGTATAATTTCCTCTAAACCCGGTAGGCATGGGATGACATACAAAGTGATTCTTCGATTCATGTTTTTGTTGTGTGAGTCGGTCCAACAGCAGGGGCTATCAGGGAGAAACTTTGTTTAGCATTTGAATACAATTAAGTGTTCTTTTGTTGTCCAAAAGAGATCGATCGTGTTGTGACAGTATCAGCTTTTATTAAATATGACTAAAAGATCAAAATGCTTAATCTGGTATGTTTGCTTTTTTGATACTCAGGACTCAAACTGTGCATTATTTCTGGCTGCTGTTCATACTGTAAGTTGTTTTAGGATAAACCCTGATGCGATGTTTGTACTAAGGCATTATGTAAAAATGCACCTGTTTGACACAAAAGTGAATACCTTGAAAGCTGCAGTTATGAGCAGTTGAAAGCTGCAGTTATGAGCAGTGCTTTTTGTCCACTGTATGTTCCAATTGAACCACATCTTTCTTGAGAAAAGGGGAAGGTATTTTTGCATAGCCCCTCTCTTTCATTTAGAAATGGGGGAAGGAAAGGTCTGTTTTAACAGATTATTTCATCATCAATCTTGATATCCTGAAAGTTTGGGGGTGTCTTGTTGGATTTTATTTTTATTATTAGTGATATCATTATTATTAATTGTTGTTATTGTTTGCATCAGTCTGTAGTGGTTATGACAAAGTGATAATAGGCTGTTTAGAGAACTGTCAGAGTCATTTTCCTTACACAGGCCTTTAAGCATAACTGACAGTGTTATGTATATCATGCTCCCCAATGGCATAGTTTAAATACAGTAGAGGAATAAGGATCTCTGTCATGTTATCTCAGGCTGGAACAGGCCTCAGGAGATAAATTCTCTGGGGGTTGAGTGCTGATGATGCTGTTGTTTTGGGGAGAGAGGTTAGCTTGTAAAAATAGGCAAGGATTTCAAATGGAATCAAGGAAAGAAGGATGGAGGGGGACTGGTTTTGCTCTTTTCTTGTTTGGGGCATCACAGTATTGTAGGCTTTGCAAATCTTCCATTAAACTGATTGCTTGTTTGAGGCTGGATTTTAGTGTAAGGCTTCAGATGTGTGTTGAACAAATGAGGACTTTTTAGAAAGCCTAAATAGTCTGGTTTTGGAGAAGCAGTTATCTCTGCATCTGGGGGCAATACTTTTGCTGTGTTGGGCAGCTTAAATATCAGTATTTAGTGTGTAGTTCCAGCAGATTCTCAGAAACATCTGCTACACAGTGCTTACTGCATTTGCTTCATTAGATTTTTCATTTAAATGAACTGTGTTTCAAAATTAAAATGCTATATTCTGTAGTACATTTAGATACATTCTTAAGTTGCTGTTGTAGTATGTAATGGTCTTATCTTTATGTAAGATATACCTGTAATTGATTATGAAAGCTTTCTTCCTGTGAAGGACTAGCTGCTAATGACTACTTGTGGCTTTTGGTGTACATATGAACATTAGTTGAGGGCTTCTTTTGAGGATGCTGTTGACCTTATCTAGACTTGCAGTTTTGCTGTCCAGCCAACCCTGCAAATGGAATTAGCATAAAGATTAGGTCTGAGTGTGACTGAGTTAGGGAGGCTGTCTCTCAGATTATGTACTGCAGGATACAAGTGATACTTGCAGCACAGGTTCGTCTCCTGATGGATGAAAAATTGAGTCTATTCAGCAGTCAGAAACAGTAAAAAAATCAGCTATTGTCTAATCAGTGATTTAAAAACAACACAGGGTTTGGGAAAATTCCCAATTTTCAGATGGCAAATGCTCTCAGATCTTTTCCCTACGTGTTTCAATGTCAATACATGATGGCATTTAACATTCTTCCCCAGTTCTTAATTGTCTCATGGTTTGATTTCTAAACCTGCTCACCGTTGCTTTATGCTAGGTATCTTTTTTCTAGGAATGTGTTTTATTTTTAGCTGTGTTAAATACTCTATTAAACATGGCAAAGAATAAAGTAAGTAGCTTAACATTGCTGGGGTTTATAGAAATTGCCTAATACGTACCTTTTACTGATACCTTTCCCTTTCCTCTGCTTTCCCTTTTTCAGATGTGTGGTCAGCAGGCTGTGTATTGGCTGAACTGTTACTAGGACAACCAATCTTTCCAGGTGACAGTGGTGTGGATCAGTTGGTGGAAATAATCAAGGTATGGAATTTTAAGTGTTGCTTTGAATGCATTATTCCTTAGGAATCAGCATGAAAGCATGCATTGGTATAAACTTGCTAACATACAAAATTCTGTCACTATTGTACAGGGTGCTGTGTGTAAACCATGTTTGAGAACACTTCTCGTGCTTTTTTTCAGACCTTGATGATCTTTGTTTGCACCTCTTGCAGTCATGCATAATGATATGTCATCTTTTAACTATGCAGGGTTTTTTTTTCCTCTCTTAAAGAATTGCACTTCCAGTGTGCTTGGAAATAGTGCTTACATACTGAGCCAATATTTATTAATGTGTGATTTTAATTCTTTAAGAATCTGGCTCTTTTTCCTTTGTTGCATGCAGTTGGTACTTGGCTTTGAAAACAATGTTATTAAATCTCCTTGTGCCAGATATGTAGCCTTCTTCTCTTCCTTAGTTCCTTCCAGCTCTTGGATGTGAGAGGTGAGACAGGGCACTCCTTTTTGCAGATGCAGAATCGAGAAATTTAGGGCAAAAAGATCTTCCAGCTGGTGGAGAGTCTTGTTTTTCAAGTGGAAAGGCCTAATGCTTCAGAATACATAAGATTTGTGTATCACTTGTGTCTGAACACATCTTGATTGTTTTGTTTGGTGAGCTGTGAATATTCTGTGATTCTCAAATTAGAGGCATGGAAGACTAATTCCAAGTTGTGTCAGTTTACACAGGAAACACAAGTGGAAAACTAGAGTTGCTCTCAGAAATAGGGCTGATGGTGGCATAAGTGACATTTTTATCCTTTTGAGAAGTGTCTTGGAGCAGTGTGCTGCTTTCTGCTACACTGCTTTTGCAAGATGTGAGGTGATCCCTATGGACACTTCAGGTGGCCAGAGTGTCAGTGTGCAAGAATCTGTGGTGTTTGCCTTCCAACATGTTCAAAAAGTCCTGTTTTGCTTCTTTATTAATCTCTGCAATCTTGAGGAATTAGATCCAATAATTTTTTTGTAATTAATGGTGAAATTCCTGTAAATCCTGTAAGTTTAAATCAGTGACGAGTGCTGTTCCTCGGGTCACTATTGGGACTGATCTTGTTCAGCATCTTTGTTGGTGACATGGACGCTGGGACTGATGCACCCTCAGCAAGTTTGTGATGACACTGAGCTGCGTGGTTCAGTTGATAACGCTGGAGGGAAGGGATGTGATTCAGAGGGACCTTGACACGCTTGTGAGGTGGGCTGATACCAACCTTATGAAGTTCAGCCAAGCCAAGTGCAAGGTCCTCCACCTGGGTCAGTGCAATCCCAGCCACAGCTAAAGGTGGGCAGAGAAGATTCAGAGCAGCCCTGCAGAGAAGGACTTGGGGGTGTTGGTTGATGAGAAACTGAACATGGGCCAGCTTCAGTGTGTGCTTGAGCCTGGAAACCCCTCCGTGTGCTGGGCAGCCCCCCCAGAGCGTGAGCAGCAGGTTGAGGGAGGAGATTCTCCCCCTCTGCTCTCTGGGGAGACACCCCCCTGCAGTCCTGATCCAGCTCTGGGGCAGCAACACAAGAGGGACATGGAGCTGTTGGAGTGAGTCCAGAGGAGGCCACGGAGGTGCTGCGAGGGCTGGAGCAGCTCTGTCTGGAGACAGACTTGAGAGAGCTGGGCTGGTTCAGCCTGGGGAAGAGAAGGCTTTGGGAAGACCTCATAGCATGCTTCTGGTACCTAAAGGGGACCTACAAGGAAACTGAAGAGGAACTTTATGCTTTTGTAGCCTCAGTACAGTTGAAGACATACCCAATTCTGCAGCATAAAAGTTGCCAGAAATGTGAAGTCCTCGGCACAGCATAAAACATGAGGTTGTATTAAATTCTATTTAGGATTCATTTTAAAAAATGTTTTTACAGATGGTGACCACCTCTTCCATTTGCTGCCACAGAATACTACTATTTAAAGCTTTTAATGTTGCACAGACTTAACTTTAATGTTTGCTGGCTGTAGGAGAGGCAGAGCCGTGGGATCTGAGAGTTGTAGAATGGCAGTGAACTTTGTAGGTTGCAGGTTGGAACCTGTGAGCTGCTGTTCGACTACTTTGGAGTTACTCTTTTCAGATACTTTCCTTGGAACTGTCTGAAACTGTGAAGGGCAAAGAAAATGCAATAAACTCCCCCAAAAGGGCCGTAGTATTTATCCACACATTTGGAAACACATGATTTTCATCCCTTAAATTTACTTGATTCCATTGCAGGAGAGGTCAGCTTAGAAACTTTTCTCTTGCTTCCTGTCAGTTCAGGATGACTGAGTCACAGTCACTCTCACAGAACTTGAGCCAGCATAAATCTTCCAGTTGTCTCTTCAGTTGCTTACTCAGCTTTGATTATTCAGACTTCATTTCACAACACAGCACTTGGATGTTGCACCTGGGTATGGAGTTTTTTTTGCGTTAGGCTGGAGAGTAACTTCCAAATGCCATCTCATTAAACTGGTCCTTCCTTCTCATGCAGTTCTTGGTGACATCCCCTTGGTAGCTGTGTTTATGAAGACAGAATTCTTGGTCTGTGTCAGTCGGTACGGCTTGTCCTCCCTGCAGGCTGCATGCCCAACATCCGCAGTCTCTTGCAGCATCAGAAGCATTCTTGGCTTTTGTCAGATTTTGAATCACTTTCAGCAGTCTTCGTGTAGTTTCATTTCAGTCTTGCACGATCTTCTCCATCCAGTTGTACCTGGAGCTTCTCCAGGCCTATGGCATATTTTCAAACTGCTCTGAAAAACTGTGCCCCTCTGGAACCACAGCATCATGCTCATGTGAATCAAGAGACGGTCCCTTTCTTAGCTGCTTTTTCTCTTGTTCGTATTTCTTTAAAGTCAGCCTTTCCAGATGTTCTCAGTCTGGCTGGGAGAGATTGATCTTTGACCACTTACCCTGACAAAATGATACTCGATATGGGGAAATAACTGTCTTGGAGTTCCATCTGAAGAAATAATTTAACCCAAGTACATTCTTCTTGAATACTTATGCTATTACAGGAGAGAAATGATGTGCTGTGCTTTTTCCAAAGTTTGATCTCAAATGGTGACTCTTCCTCCTTATTTTTAGCTCTTGCTAGCTATTCTGATGTTAGGTTATCCCACTGCTGGGAATATCTCAAGTGGGTAACCCAATACGTTCATTAAAATTCATGCCCCTGCTGGCTTTTGAGTGACATCCCCTTCAGAAATATGCTCAGTTGAGCTGAGTGCAGCTGGAAAGAAGGATCTCTTTGACCACGGGGCAGACTCCTTCATAAATCTCCAGCCTTGTGCATGCAGCTTGCAGTGCAGCAGGAGGTGTCTTCAGGCCTGCCATGCCCCCTGTGAAAGCTTGGGGACATTCCTGCCCACCCCCAGCTCTACAGCACCCTGAAACCATCAAATTAAAACTGGCTGGGGTATCCCTCCCCAGACTAAAGCGTCTTAAACCACGATTCCTGTAGGCAGTGGTTACTTTCTTATTCCCATTGCAAAAAGGGAATCTCGGAAGCATATAATGGTTTTGTTTCCAAGATAATTATTATCTTCTGAAAGGTTCCGTTTAGTATCTTTCCCCTCCTCCCCTCAAAATTGAAAAGAAATGAAGACTCATCTGTCAGCAGAAGGAAGCAGCAAGAATTGTCTGAGCAGCCCTGGGACACAGGGAGGATAGGAACTGCCAATCTGTCTTGTGTTGTCTTCACCAGAAATGTTTTTTCCATATGCTGTAATCTTAGAGTATGAGATGCATCAACTGACTTGTGAAAACCAGAGGAAAGGAGTTGCGGGGTATCTGATTAGGGTTTTTTTGGTTCCTCCTGGACTGAGAGATTATTCTTTGCACCAAAACTTGGCGTTTCATGTTCATTTAGGGGAAATAAAATCATCTTCCTATAGTTTTCTGGGTTGGGGGGGGAAGGAGGAGAAAAGATATTAAAAGACAAACTCAATAGTATCAGGAATCCTATCCATGTGTAACTTTTTGGTCTCTGACAGTTTTACTGAGCCAGATGCTAAGTATAAACTGCAATTATAATATATGGCTCATGCTCAAATGTCAAGGTACTATTTTGGGCTCAGTTTTTGAAATAAAGCAAATTCAGTCACAGTAGTTAATGGGGAGAGAGGAGCTGTCTGTTCCGGGAGAATAAGCCGTAGGAGAACGCCTTTCATTTTATTGGACGTGGTCCTGCGCTGTGGACCTTCCTCAGCAGGCTTTCACATGGTCCTCTCTCCTCGCCCCTAAGGGAAGACTCCTGGCATTTTAATTCCCTGATGTCCCCCCACATCACAACTTGGCTGTTCCTGTGCTTCAAGTAATTTTTCACTTCCAGGGCTTGCAGGCAGGCAGTGTAAAAACGTTGATGAGCAATTATAGTCATGTCAGCAGTGACAATGGGTTTCTTCCTCTTCCTGATGTATAGCTGCTCTTGTGTTTGTGAATAGAAGAAATCTCTATATTTAGTTGGCTTTCATTTGGTTTGACAAGAGTGTTTTGAAAGAAAGTGTATATAAAATGGGCAAGTTTCTTTTCTACCACAGTCCTCTTGACGTATTACTTCAAAAGTTGACCCGTGTTTACTGCTTCAGATGTCTACACTGTGAATTTTCTCAATAACTATTTGGCACACCTCTCCCAACTTTCTGAAGAGGTGCAGACATGTTTGTGGAAGTATTAATTATGCCATCTGCTGAGCCATGCACACCAGACTTCCTGGAGCACGATTCCTCATAAACTTGCTCTGTTTTCCCGGGGAAGATCACTGTACCACCATGTAACCATGGCTTTCTGGAGGTTTCTGATTTAAATAATCACCTTCCCCTTCTCCAGTTCAGTCATTACCAACTGGAGCTTCTGAACCCTTGGTGTCCCTCTGCTTTTAACTGATTTTTACATTTGGGCTAAGATTTATCAGTATTGGTGGTTTGTCAGAAAGGGCCTTTATTCCACTGGGGTTTACTGAGACCATTGCAGTTGCTCCTTCCTCCTGTGTTGCTCAGTGGTGTGGGTATGGTCATCAATAACTTGGTGCAGTTTTGCACAGTGAAACCAGGTGTGAACAGCAGCTGTCTTTGGTACTGGGGTGTAACTACGGTGTCTTTTGGAGCTGAATATCCTCCTATTTAAATTTACTTGGAAGAAGTAAATGAAGATCTTTATTTGTAATCAAATTCAGGGTTTATTCCAGGTTCATAGGTCTCTGCTTCTTGTATGTTAAGGATGCCTTTATTGGGACATAGTAGCTTTTCTCCAGTTGCTTGATAAACGTATCATTCCCCTTCCTTCACTAACCTGTTCCTGGAATAAAAAATTATCTGGGGAGCTTCATCCATTTACAGATTAATGTCAAAGGAAAACTTTCAAGAAAATACGTGGGAAACCTTTTCTGTTCAGGTTTTGTCCTAAGAGAACCAGAGCAGCGTCTGTCTTCTCAGCAAGTGTATTCTCTAGTTAATTGTAGTAGATATTTCTTTATTTTTACTCAAGGGATGATGGTTCTGACAGATGGGAAGGAGGAGCGAAGCTAGTTCAGCTGTTGACTTCATTTGCAGGAAAGTGCCTGCACAGAAATACCTGAAGGGAAGGAGCAAAGAAGAGGGAGCCAGGCTCTCTGCTTTGGTATCCTGTGACAGGGCACAAGTTAAACCATGTGAAATTCAACCTGAACACAAGTAGATGACATATTTTTAATGTGAAGGTGGTCCAACAGTGGAAGCTGTTTCCCAGCGAGGCCGTGAAATCTCTGTCCTTGGATATACTCAAAAGCCATCTAGACATGGTCTTGGGCAACCAGCTCTTGCCATTGCTGCTTGTACAGGGAGGTTGGACCGGGAGACCTCCAGAGGTCCCTTCCAACTTCAGCAGTTCTGTGATACAGTGAAACCTCTCTCCAAGGAACATCAGCTCCATAGTATTTTCAGAGTATAGCAAGAGCAGCTGTTCCATGGAGTAATTCTGCCCAAAATGTGCAAATTTATGCTTCTCCTTTGCATTTCAAATGGAAAGAACAGTCACATACAGACAGGGTTTTTCTTTCAGAAGAGAGTTTTGCCCAATTTTGCAATAGCTTAAATGATTGCTGTTACTCATCAAGGTTATTTGAATGTATTCCTAATATACCGAAAACTCTGTGTGAATAAGTGAGGTACAATTTCAAAACCATGCAGCTGACAGTGTTGGTTCATTGAAGAAAGGTCCACTGCAAGATCCCTTCCAGATATGTCAAGTACTGGTACAATTTTATAGCTTGTCGGTGGATTCATCCCACATTTGTTTTTTGGATTGCGATTTGAATTACAGACTTCCATTCTTCTTCCTGCCTGTTTTCATTTACCCTATGTTTTCTGTTTGGTCTTGGGTTGAGTTTTTTGGGAAGATGGGGCTTGGGTTTTTTTGGCTTTGTTTGGTTTGGGGTTCTTTTTGGTTGGTTTTTGAGTTTGTTTTTTGTTTTTTTAATTTTTGCTCTAATCTGCCTTCAGTACAGACTGGAAGTACAATCTGACTTTAGAATCCACAGAGAATAAAGTAAATACACTGAGTGGCTGATATAAGTCGCTTTTTCTTTTGTAGTTAACTTTGTGTGTCAGAGGCTGCTGTGGAACTGAAAGGTCAGGTGATTTCTTCTTTCAGCTAGCATGATCTCTCTTCAGTACCTGTTTTTCTAAGCATTCATGAAACCTTCAGCACTGTTACTTAGAAGCCTGTTCTTAAGGGTTGCTCCCTTCCATCATAGAATAGTTAGGGTTGTAAAGGACCTTAAGATCACCTAGTTCCTACCCCTCTGCCATGGGCAGGGACAATCATATGGAGTTATAGCTGTGTCTTTAGTGAAATAGTGTATGAAGAGACATTGCCCTTGCCTATCTCATCTGAGTTCTCTTTAAAGCTACAGGCATGTTTTAAATGAAGAGACTTGCACCATGTAGGCTTCTGTTCTGAGCAGCCGTGGCAACTGAGCCAGTTTGCTGAATTTTGTCTGTATTTAAAGAAAAACCCAACTACTCTTTGCCTCTTCTCAGGAAGGCTATTAAAGGAATTTTGGAGGAGGAGGAAGAGGGTAAAGAAGGTAACCATGCCTTTTATGAAGTCCTGTTTATACTAGGGAGGCCTAAAACGTAGCCTTTAGAAATGGTGGGAGAGCAATACAAGTTAGCCCTAATTGTTCAGGAAGTTAATTTAACTAACCGAAAATACTTCCAAAGTTTTGGAAGTGGCTTTTGTCCTGAACCAGGGTGAAAATAATATTTGCAGGAGTGAAATCTCCTCATCTTTTACAGCTGGCATCAAAGCTTTGAGAGTAGCACCCACCTGGCTGGGCTGGCAGCAGGGTGGCCCGTGCCAGACAGAAACCCAGCAGGGAAAGGGCATGTTTTCCTGTCAACTCTTTTTCCTTTGGAAGTTGAGCAAAATCTACAGAACCCTGCAAACACCCCCTTTTCTACCACCTGAGGAAAGCAGCATTTTCAGACATGCACAGAAAACTCTCCTGTCAGCTCTGAAGTTAACCCTTTTAGAGAGAGTAGGTAGGACTGAAATCCCAGTTAGCAATAGGAAGGTAGAAGTTACGTGATCGTTCATTTCATGCTTGTCAGTTAAATCTCTTATCCGAGAAGCAAGTGCCTGAACAAGCTGCAGGGTTTATTTCTCTGCTGCTACTGTTTAATCAAAAGATTGCTTTGTGCGTAGGTGCTTTAGTTTGTGTTTTACAGCTCGTGTTGTAAATAATAGATGCCAAGTTCCTTTCATAATACCTGATGATAGTTCCTCTGTTGCACAGATTAATTAAACAGCAATTAACTTGCTCTTTTCCCCCTTTACCTGAGTCTTTAGAGTGCATTTGTGTGATCTCCACTGTTCTGACAGAATGAAAATGTTCGGTACCAGAATATGTAATCAAATGCTTCTTTATCAAGCAGCAAGGTAGAGTGCTAACGTCATGTTGTAGATCATTCGTTTCCTGCTGGTGACGGTGCAGTCTCATGAGATGAGGTGGTAACATTATGCTAATCTCTATGGCAAGGGATTTGTCACAGGGTGAGAGTAGCGTGGCTACAGGGTTCCAATAGGAAGATGAACCTGAGCTCAGCGTAGAGGAGTGGCTCCTCTGCCTGCAGCCCTCTACACTTCTCTCTGCAGAACAAAAGGATACCCAGTAACTGGGTGCAAGCAGAAAACAACAGGATTCCTTGAACAGGCTTTGCAGTTTTTATATATAGCTGGAAGGCAATGGCTCTCTTATGCTTAGTGCTAACTGAACAGAAAGCACTAATGCCATATGTCCGGCTTATTCCCTGAGGGGATTTCCGAAATCCTTTCAAAATCTATCCACCCCAACAAAGAGGTGTGTGATTGTGTGTTACTTCTACAACTACTCATTTGCATGTAAAAATAACATTGTACAGATTCTGGGAATGAGAAATACAAAGTTGTAAAAGTAGGCCAGGGCTGGTATGCATTTTAGATGCTTCCAGTTTAGGTTTAAATTAAGTTTATCTTCCATGTGGAAATACTGGGAAGGGGAGCCACAACCAAACCCACACAATTTGGGGTGGGGGGAGAACCTGTCTGGCTCCCCTCAGTAGTAAGTGGCTGATCTTTTAAGCTCATCAGAGGTTCATGACTTGTAAAATGCAGTCTGTGCTACAGGTCTGATCCTTCATCAGCCATATGCAGCGAGCTGCAGTCCCAGAATTTGTTTGGCAGTACTGTTCTACAGCATTCTAATTAGAGTGAGCTCTCTTCCCCATTGAAATATCACAAAGTTTGAGAAAGGTGCTTGAATTTCGTAAAAGACTGTGGAAGATAATTAAACTTTGGGCACTTAGCTTGGAGTATGAACTGAACTGCAAGCAAGAGACTACTGAAGCTGGAGTGAGGGCTGCAAAGATGATTAAGGGTCTGGAACATCTGTCAGGAGAGGTTGCAAGAGCTGGCACTGAGGCAGAGAAGGCTTGGGGGGTCTTATCAATGTGTATAAAATACCTGGTGGAGGGAACAGAGAAGAAACAGCTAGGCTCTTCTCGTGGTGCCTGCTGACTGGACAAGGGGCAGTGGCACGAAGTAAAGTGAAAATTCATTTGAATGCTATAAACCACTCTTTTTCCTGTGAGGGAGGTCAAAGACTAGAGCAGGTTGCCCAGAGAGGTTGTAAAGTCTCCTTCTATGGAGATGCTAAAAGCCTAGTGGGACATGGTCTTAGGCAGCCGGTTCCAGCTGACCCTGCTTGAGCCAGGGGGGTTGGATCAGAAACTCCCAGGACAGGGACTTTCCTTCCAACTTAAACAGTTCTGCAAAAGTTCAGTTGTTTTGTTCCAAACACTGTATTAACTTACTGGTAACACAGATTGACTTCAGTTGTCTCAGTGTATGATAGGTTATACTGAGCTCTTCATTACCATATGACTATGAAGCATATCCAAATGATCTGCCTTTTTTTCTCTCTCCTGTCTAGGTTCTGGGAACGCCTACAAGGGAGCAAATTAGAGAAATGAATCCGAACTATACTGAATTCAAATTCCCTCAGATTAAGGCACATCCATGGACTAAGGTGAGTCTATATGAACTGGCTAATAAAGACATGTGGGCTCAAAGCAAAAATTGAAGGAGTTCAGTGACTTGGTGACTGGCTTTCAGTCTAAACTGGGCACTCTAACTAAGCTGGGGACCCAGTAACTTCTGATGTTGAAAAGGAGAAGAAGCTATTGAAGCAGTGCACTGTAATATCTGTTGGTCTGGGGTTTTTTGAGGTTGCCTACAGGTGTTGAAGGGTTTTTTTTAGTAATATGTCTGTAGCAGATTGCAGTATGTTTAAATCCTGTCATGCTATAAATTGATACTCACAAAAGTCACCTATAAATGAGAGAATGTTCCAGTGATAATATGTGACACTTTCATAATGCTGGTCCATAATGTGACAAGGGCTGACAGTCACTTTCTTAACTGCTTCTGTCATAGGTATTATTATATTTGTACTCCTATAGGGGTGCTGTTGAGGGGGTTGGTTTTGCTTTCTTAAGGCTAACTAGCTTTCACAAGGAGACACTATTGCAGTATATGCAAACAATATTATAACCTCCATGATCAAAGAGTAAACTGCTAGTATTGAAACAGATACATTGCCACACAATTGAGCTGTCTTCCATGTATCAAGGAATGAGTAATATTTGACTTGGGACACTGAAACAATTAATGGTTTAATTGGCCTCTTGGCTGTGGAATAAGTTAAATATAGAGGTTTAAGCAATTAAACCCTGGGTAGTTAACATTCTCTCTTTGCTGCTTGAGAAATGTCTGATACAGTTGCAGTACATTCTTATCATATCTTAAAGACTCAGGTTTTACTCTGCTAAGAAAGCAGCGTGTGTATGTGGAAGGCTTGCATTCGTAGCTGAGCACATGTCCAGGTCAGACTCTTTGGACCAAATGCTCTGTGATAGTAGAAACTCTGGATAAACTAATTAGAGCTAATTGATAGCAGGCATGTACCTGATAGGTACATACCAGCCCAGGTACTGCTAGTCACTGTTACTGTGACAGATCCTCCAACGAGTTATGTGCCACTTCAATTTTCCTTTTACCCACTGATCTCTTGTTTGCATTTCCATATCAGAGTTTAAGTCATTTAAATGATTTCTAATAGTATAAGAGGTCAGTAAATCCAGCAAGGCTTTTTGATACCGTATGTTAACAAGGGAAAACGTTAGGGCAAATGAAATCCCTTGGAGTGGTCTCCGCAGTTTTGAATTGCATCAGCATTAAAGTCATGAGAATAAGTCCAGAAGACTTATAGTACTGAATATTAGGGGCACATCTGAATTCCTGCAGTGAAGGTGTTTGGGTTGGGAATGGGTTAAATTTGTATGCAGTGGAGTGCAGAGATGACCTGTAGGACATGGAGTTAAGCAAGCATCTAAGCTAGCTATGCAACTCATCTTGTGCCTGATCTTTTAAGAATCTCTATGCACTTGATGGTCGCTTAGACCACAGCGGAGATCATCTGGCAAATAGAAGCTTTAAGAAAAAAGTGAGACTTCCTTCTGGAGTCTTTCTTCTTTCATACGAATGGTTTTTTGGTCATTCTAAAGGATCACGAGTGAAACGAAGTCAGTTACAAAGAATTGAGAGGAGCTTGCCACGAGATGAAATCTGCATTCTCGATTAGGGCAGAATCATTTTTGGGGAGCTGTGCTTGCAACATAGCTTTTGATTGTTGAGTCATTCTGCACACAACTCTTTTCTGGCATTGGCTGGGTGTAGAATAGCATTTAAACCAGCTTATTACAATTGCATTACATGATACTTCATTTATGAGATCTGTACTTTTCTAGTTCTACAAATGGTAAATTAGCAAAATGGATTATCCAGCATGGTGTTGGTAATGGTACTCATCCTCTCAATGTACTACTTCTAAAGATCCTTTCCTTGCAACACTTGGAGCATGATGAGCTCTGAAGGATTTAAGTGGTAGTGTTACAGAGAATTGGTCTTCCTTACCCAACTGTATTGGCATAACATGTGATGGCACATCAGTGGACATATGCATCCTCTTGTAGCTTCCATAAAGCGTGAGAGAAAAAGCACTGCTGACCCAGCTGTCTAATGAGCAGAAAAGGAATGACTGAGGAAGTGAAAGTTCACGTTTCTTTTATTATAACTGTGCATGTAACTAGAGTTACAGGTAGTTGCTAGCAAGGACTTGAACTTCTGGTTTAGCCTCAAAAGCGCAAGCCTTTACCATCTGGCGGTCTGATCTGCTACATTGGCTGTTACGTGCTAGGTGAAGCGGAATGGCGGCTGGTGCTGTAGCAGAATGAAATAGGTTCTGGCTTTCTTAAAGAGCTGGGCAAATTGTTTGAGACCGAATAAGGATGAATCAGTACTCCTTGAGTTGTCCTTAGGAATAGTGTCTCTCAGGTTCATTCAGTTTCAGGCCTAAATTGGGTTTTGTGGAAATTTGAAGTCTGCCTTCATAGATGTAGCTTAGATTTTTCAGTAGAAATGGATTGGTATCATCCAAATGAAGTACTGATATTCAAAGTCATGTAGTAGTATGAAGACAGATTTCAAATTAACTGTGCTCCTTCTTCATAGATTAGGAGAGAAGTCAAGCTAGCACTCAGTATCTTTCCATGCTGCAGCAATAACGCAGGTTCACAGTGCAAGCTGTTCTTGGACTGGTTTTTCAGTCTGTTGACAATTTAAGATTGAAATACTTTTGCAACTTAAGAGCTGGAATCTCTCAGTATAAAACATACAGAGGCCTCTCTGTCTTCTCTCCAATATATTCTGTGTTGCCCAAGCACATGCATGTTTTGATACCAGTTCTGCACATGATGCAGATGATGATGGGAGTTCACTGTGTCCCTGGCTAACAAAAGAAAAGAGAATCTGAACTTTCCAGGAATCTTTTAAATAGATCTTCCAGAGTGGGACTTCTCTCTCTTTTGGCACCCCACACCACAACCCCAGCCCCAGAGGAGGAATTTGGGATATTTTGGTTCCCTCAGAATAGCAGAGTGGTTAATTTAGTAGTGTAGCTGTTCATTTCATCCTGACCTTCCTTTGTTTTCACTTAGTATAGAATATTTTTTATTCATAGAGGTACATCCTACTACTTGTCTGCCTTGGTCAGCGAGTAAGTAGCATAAAGTTGTAAGAGAAGCAAGGGCTTGTCTTATAAGGGCTGGGAATATCTTTTGACTGACTTATGCAATCAGGAAAAAATGGGTAGGCTTTTAGACACACAGTTGTTTGCCTGTCCATGTTTTCCAACTATATCAGCTCACTTGTCCTGGGTTCAGCTGTAGCAATCGTTTTTCTCCTTCCCAGTAGCTGGTGCAGTGCTGTGTTTGGCCTCTAGTCTGAAAACAATGCTGATAACACTGATGTTTTTAGTTGATACTCGGTAATGTTCTCTCTGACCAAGGACTTCCTGAGTCTCATGCTCTGCCAGGAAGGAGGGGAAGCTGGGAGAAAGCAGAGCCAGGACACCTGACCCAAAGTAGCCAGAGAGGTATTCCATACCACGGTGTGTCATGGCCAGTATAGAAACTGGGGGTGGAGTTACCTGGAAGGCCAAGATCGCTGCTCAGGTTGGGCTGGGTATCGGTTGGCAAGTGCTGAGCAATTGCATTGTGCATCACTTGCGTTTATTGATTTATTTTTTTTTTCCCTTTTCTAGTTTTATATTCTCTCCCTTTGTTATTTCCCATATCATTATTGGGAGTAGTATTATATTGTATTTTAGTTATTGGACTGTTCTTATCTCAACCCATGGGGTTTATGTTCTTTTGATTCTCCTCCCCATCCTGCCTGGAGCAGGGGTGAGTGGAATGGCTGCATGGTTCTGAGTTACTGGCTGGGGTTAAACCACAACATCAGTGAATAAAAGTTACTATCCTTTCTGGAGGCTTTGCTGCTGCTGTTTTTACTAGGTCAGAACTTTCCTTCCATGTCTTTCAGCTGCCTCAGTTCCTTGAGCCTTCCTTCTTCTTGGAAGTGCATTCTGATCTCTGCTCCTAATCTTTATACTTGTTTCTCCTCTGTCTAAGCTTCATCTATATTTTATAAATGTGTGACTGGAAAGCCAAGAAGAAAATCTGAGATCAAGTGCAAGGTTGTACATTGCAGGGCTGTCAAAGTTCGGCTTTGGAGGTTAGCTTTCTCCGAGGCCTTTTTCAGCCCTTTTGGAAGGGGGCAGGGACAGTGGGGTGGCTGACAAAAGGTCTAAATGCATGCTTCATAAGCTTGTGTTAGATAGGCGTTGCTTACCATGGCCCCAGTACAGCTGGCCTTTATCCTAGCATTACTCAGATGCTACCTTCAGATCTCAAATCCTTGGGGCTTTGAAAAACAAAGGCAGCGCTGTGATTATTTCCAGAAACATGAAAAAATGTCCATGTATGCTGGCCCGCCTTTCTCCTTGTATCCAGCTAGTGAAGGATCTCATTTGAGTAAGATCATAGCAAATGCAATATAATTATGTAGTTTAGGTCTCTTCTGCATGGGGGAGATGACTCATGTGGATTTATTTTCTTTTCCCCACCCAAGATACTTCGTTTGTTGTTAATGGCATTATAATGAACTGACTTATCTACTGAGCTGCAAGCATGTCCATGGTTGGTGATGGCAGAACAACGCAACAGATTATATCAGCAAAGGTTGTTTTCTTTAGTCAAATCATAACCTATGTCTTGTCTCTGTTGTGGAGACATAGAAGGAATTTCCACTGCAGGCAGCTCTAAAATGGACAGTGCATGCTGTAGTTCAGTGGCCTTTGTTTCTCCTGTTTTGAAGATACTTGCCAGATTGTTTAAGAATGCAAGCACTTTTAGAATACATAGTTGGTGAGATAAGCTTGAGTGTCCTCAAACAAATGGCTTCATTCGCCATCCCCAAATCTATAGCGAGCTGGAGTCTGAATCATAATTTCCAAGTCAGTGTTGAGATGGAAAAAGACAGGAGTCATTTGTTTAACAGTGGAAGAGAGAGAAACTGTCATGTCTACATCGGTTTTGAGCATCTCTGCCCTTCTGCAGTGCACTCTTG